CTATATCTCGACATTTTTCAATTTTAGATCAATTCTTTAACATATAGTGTTTATTATTTTGTTTTCTTTATTATCTTAATTTTTTTCTTTTATTTTCTATTAAGATTTTGCAAGAAGGAAAGAAGAAAATGGAGAATATCTCTTCCCAGAGAATCTTACGAGTTAACCAATCATCTGCATATGTAAGGCCATCTGAATGTTACAAAAATTTAACTTAAAAATTGTGAAGGTGTTGATATAGACTCTTTTCTTGTATAGCAATGATAGTTCATATAAGTAATATTGACTTTGGCTAGCTGTGTAAATATTTTTAACTTACCAATTAAATTTAAAGCAACAATGTCCCATTCAGTGATAAATATCATAGCTATAATTTTTTTTAGTTTGCTTTGTGGTATTCTCAAAATGTCAGCTCAATGATAGAAACTCAAATCAGAATTTTATTTTAATGAACGTATATGTTTACTGAGCATCTTTTTCATGGAAGATTACTGTTTTTTCTTTTTGTTTATGTATTCCTGCTGGATGTAAAGGAACACAAGAAACAGACTTTAATTAATAAATCTTTAAAAAATTACAAGAGAGAGAACATACTTTCTGAATGTGAGAGTAATGAGACTGTTGTTGAAGAAGAAAATATGTACAGTCAGGAGAAAGAAAATTTAGCCTCCTGTAAAGTAAGTTCTATATAGTTTCTAATGTGATAATTGGGATGTAGTAATGTATAAATTATATACATTATTTTATTTTTAGTAGCATGAAAGTAGGGACCATGCTTATTAAACTTTCAAAAATAGTGTCTTCAAAATCTCCTTGCATGATTTTTTTCCTTTCATTTAAAGGCATATTCCTCTCTCCCAGATTTGAGGTTGCCAGTAAAAATAGCCTAGTTAAATAATGTCAATATGACGTCAAAATTATCGTTTATTATTACTTTCTCTGTTCTACCTGGTTGGGGATCAATTGTGAACTTAAAAACTTAGTGAAAATTATAAAAGTGAGCAAATTTACTAGAATATTTATAATTTCATTGGTTATACAATTGGTGAATTCGCTCATTTTTGTTATTTTTACAAAATTTTGAACTACACAATCGACCCCTTGGAATACAAGCAAAATTCGGTATTATTTATGTGTAAACATATTTAAATTCATTTATTAATTGTAATTTCGTAGCCAAAAAGTCCATCAATATTGTTTATATCGATAAAGAAATATGGATTTACATTTTATCCATTCAATGAAAATCAGCTTAACATGCGATGTAAAGCAGACAGAGCTAAGTTAAATAGTTGGGATTGCTGGGAATGCAGAAAAGTAATTATTAACAGTATATATATATATATATATATGTAGGCGTATCTTTTATACTTAACTGTAGCCGTATCTTTTATACTATATCGAATATCGAATCGATCAATTAATTATTGATTATTAAAATGTAGGAATGCAGGAGAAGGCCGGATGAATTTAGTTGAATCAGGAAAAGAAGTCAGGTTCGGAAGATATATATATATGTTTATTGCGAGTCGAAAACGTCTTCGCTGTCCAAGTCCCGTTTCTATTCTATCTTCCTTCCTGTCGCCTCGATATTAAAGATCTTCTGCCGGTTCGTGAGAGAATGCGTGCTTGTGTCTCGATAAAACGCTCCGAAGATGATGTTCTCAACAATGATCTGTGTGTCGATTCCCAAAAAGTCGGCATATTTATACCCGGTGTTAAAACCTTCCCTACCCGAAACATCGGACCAATCAGAATTACCTTCGTTCATCGCGCAGAACTGTGTTTTCGGTTTTCTCGACAAACAAAGGATCGCTCAGAACGCTTTCAATAATAAATATTACAAATAAATAAGTACCCGGCACGAGGTCGACAAACAAAACACGTAAATCAGCTAATCTCATCGTCGGTTAACGTCTTTATAAAAAATGCCTACATATATATATATATATATTGTGACGTGACAAATTGAAATTGTCCGTCACAAGGGCCGAATGGCCCGATCGGGGGGAGGGCACGGGACCTCTGCTCTCCCGAGACAGTGAGAGAGAGAGAGAGAGAGAGAGAGAGAGAGAGCGTGCGTGCGAAAAGCGCGGGACCGGACGCGATCCCGCTGCTACGCGTTTTCGTATATTTTTTTTGTTGTTGAGAGTTAGGATTATTTCGGCGGCAGACAGGATGTGCGACGAGTCTCAGCCGAGAGAGAAACCCTGGAGGAGAAATAGGAAAGCATAGGAAGCAGGACGACGGGGACCCCCTTCGTCAGGGACACGCCCGGTAAGCCCAAGATTCAAAATTTCTTCACCGAACATCCGACAACGGAGTAGGTGCCACTGCCTAAAAATTTGTACCTTCCAGGAGCGAGCAGGGGATGGCCACTCGGGTGCAACAAGCACCCGAGTCCCCGCATACGGAGCGCCGGCAGGAGAGCTGCCGCCCCCGGGACATCCGGAATCCCGAAGGAGAGCAAGGAGCGGCCCTGCCGTGCGCTGCCGCGACGACCGCCTACGAAGGGCAACCCGCGGATCAGGACTCCGCGGGTAAGGATAATTAAGCGCGCGGCCGCAAGGATCACCTGATAGCGCCGCGAGTGGCCTATCTAGGTAATTGGGTCACCGACGTGTCTCCTGAGGGCCCCCGGTTCGGCACTGTCTAGCGAGCGCCCGAAGAGAGTGGAGGTCCCGAGACGGAAGCGCGACGTAGAGAGAGCGAGAGAGGAGAGGACGATAAGGATCGTTACAGGACTGGTGAGACGACGTGGTCATCCTGCTGTCGCCGAATTAAGGTAGCAGGGTGGATGGGTCCCGAAATACCTATCGTTAAGAGATTATGCCGGACTTAGTTGCCGGCCCGTTATAAAATTGCGAAAGATTAGTTTTATTATCGAGTCGCGGTATTAACGTAACGAATCTCTATTGGGAGAAACTACGACCCATCCACTCTCTTGCGTTTCCGCATATTCTCTCTCCCGCGTGGACAGTCTTCGCGCGTAACATTGTCGCGCGAAAATTACCGCGATTTACGCGTTGCCGAATATTGTTCGAGGCGCAAAATCGGGGAGCTCATAAACGCTTTCGGGCTCATTAAAGTATTGAGGTTGTCTTAAAAGAAAAGGCGTGATTACGTTTAATTTTGTGTATGGAATTTATGTACGGCGCACGCGGTGCGCCCTTACGCCGGCCCCTTTGTTGTCGCGCATACCGCGCGGATCACGCGCCCGCGGCATGGAGTAATATACCCGGTGGCGCATCGCTGATTTAATTAATCATTTTTTTTTGTTATTGGAGACACTACCTCGTTGCCGCGAATTAGTTAAATATTATTCATAACTCGGCACGGCGAACCACCGGTCGTATTGCCTCACCAAACTCTCAATCGTGCGTCTGTGCACGCCGCTTATTTCTGTATATTATATACTCATGTATCTTATGAACAAAATTTAAATATATGTTTTATTAACTTTAATTCCTCGGGTGATTTCTCGCCGCCACGCACCCGAACTCTTACCCGTACGGAGGCTAGCCGAGCGGGAAAGCTGCCGTCGCGATCTCTCTCTCTCCCGTGATTGACGCCCGCGAGAGAGCTTGGACAATAAGTCCGAGTAAATCAAGACTTAACGTCCCGCGAATTTATTAATTGAGAGACGGTGCGGCTGCCGCACCTGGCGCCCAACTAAATCGAGATTTTAGTTTTCTTTTTTTTTTATTTTTTTGTTTTGTTATAATTTTTTTTGTGATCGGACGGAGAGATCGCACCGAAGGGAACCGATATTCCGCAGGAGACTTTTCTCCTTACGCGACGAATTGATATTCGCTGCGAATTCCGCGCGATACGGTTATAATATATATATATATAAGATATGAATAAATAAAAAATATAAACAAATATAAATATAAATAAAAAAATTAATATAAATAAAAAAATTAATATAAATAAATATAAATATTTTTTAAATAACTAATTTATGATATTTCATTTTTAGTATTATAAGAATTTGTCATTGTCAAAAGAAGAATTACAAAAACGAATGAATCAATGCTCGCGACACCGACACAAATATGAGCGACCAAATACACCAGAAGGTTTAATATTTTATTATCATTTTTTTATGTTATATGTAATAAATATAATCTTTTAAAGGTTTTTGGGATCCGGAGTTTCCCGAGACATTCTCATCTTCATCGCAACTCGTGGTACAGTAACATTATCATTGCCATCTTTTTCATCACTTATTTTGACATAATACTCCTCATCAATTTGATGTCACTTTGATATCATTTTGACTAGGTTTTCACTGGTGCATCTTTCTCTGACTTTATGTAACTTAAATGTTATATGTGGATTTAGTGTTCACTCAAAAAACCAGACTCCATTACAACAAATATAATTATGAATATAATATAAGAATATAATCATAAATGCCTTTGTATTGAGAGCTTACTGTGGCTATATATTCCTGCAGAACACACTGAAAAGGAAGAAAGTGACTGTACAAGTTGCTCTGCAACAAAATCGAAGAGAGAAAAAATATACAGCAGTAACAGTACAGTGATTCTGCAGAAAATAATGGAGAGCAAAAGATTCACGAGGTAGCTTTAATAATTCTATGTAGAAATTTTTATCCTCTGTTATTTTTACTGAAAGTTATTATTCACCCATTTAGCAGGATGAAGAAGCTGGACAAATATCTTTATCCAGTGGATCTGAGAAAGAGATTGATAATATTAAAGATAAACAAGTGAAGAAAGTAAATATTTTTTTTGCAAAACTTAACACAGTCATTACTATTACTATTATCTCTACTGAATTTGAATTTTTTTACAGGTAGCGACTCGCTTAGCTGCCATGCTTGATATAAAGGTCCTTACAAAGCTAGCCTCTTTGAATTCAGCCATCTCTTTATCTGAAGAAAACCTTCAGTCATTCTTATTTCCTCAGAATAAAGGTATATATTTTTTTTTTTGCAATGTCCTTTAATGGACACTTATTACAAAGTTTATATGCCCCAGATAAGAAGACTTCTGAAGAAGCTATTAACAATAGTGGAGCTAACAATACAATTGGCATTGAATCCTGTCACGAAAGAAATTGTATCACCTGAGTGTGATGAATCTGGAGCAGGAGCTAGCTGTTCAGGCCTTATTGTTAGTGACAATTCCAATAAAATTAAACCATCATCTGAATCATATTATGTCAATAATAATATTTTGCAGGCTACAAAATCAACTGTAATAGAAGAAAAGACAATCCCAGAAACTGTGAATGTAATTTCACCTGGAACTGGATTTAAAGAACAGGCTGAAAATAGTACAGTTGTAAAGCAGGAAGGCCAGATCAAGAACTCAAACTCTATGTTTTGCACAGATAAAAGCAAGGTGAGATTAAAAAAATCTAATTTGAAAATTTCTTATAACTGCAACTATACATTTTATATATTTTTTGTTCTCAAAGGGAATCCTAATCGGTGATAACGTATACTGCACATCAAAATTATACAAGATTGCAAATGAATCAAACTCTGCTACTAAAGCAGTCAGACGTCTATTGGAGGGTGTGTTTACATTGGAGTCACTTCTTCAGTGTACTGTGTCTGGTCTTTCACCAAGAGGTAAGGGTTGCCAAGCCTATGCAGACCCAAATTCTATTAAAAAATTTCTAGAACCTGCTGGAGTAGATGCGATTATTGGTAAGTTTAGAATATATAAAGTTTTATTTACTTGCGTTGATGAAAAATATGGTTTTCAGAATTGCTCATAAATACCCTCAATTTTCTAGATAAGGCTCTAGAATGGCAGAAAATCAAACATTGGCGCCCTAAAAAAGATTCTACTCAATTACGAAGTGCCATGGCAGTGCGTCTCTGCGAAATCAGGGAGAAAGAGCAAAAGCGCCAGTCTAATAAATCCAAAGTATAATATCTCTTGCAAATATCATGCAAAGAGTTTTAGCAATTCTTCCATGCAGTATCGATCTTTAGTTTGATAAAATATATAAAGAACTTCTCCATTTTTATTTTTTTGAGCTAGCAAATTGTATTTTTATTTTTATTCTTATTTTTATGATTGCAATTAATATTTTGTGCCACTACATCAGTCTTTTTAGTCAGATCTTTTTGTCGCTAGCAATTAATATTTGTTTATATGTATTTGTGTTGATTACTGCCTATAAAGTGTTGCGTTTCATAAATTTTATCAGAAGTTTACTTATCTTTTTTTTAAGTCAAGTTTCTTACTGAGCATATTTTTATATTTTTCCATATATTCTATTTTTTTATATTTAAGATTAACTTATAATGTGATTCTCTTATAATTATTCAGAAAAAAATGTCTTGTAGCAAAAACTATTAAATAATTTATGAAAAATTATGTAAAAAATTAGTTTATTATCACTGCTTTAGTTATTGCTATGATGCATCAAAGTTTTTTTATCACGAAAGCATTCCGACTTGTGATTTAAGTTAGTATTGGCGTTACAAATAATGAATTTAGTTTTGTACCACTGGATTTAAGCAAACCAATATAGACAAATAATCGTAATTTATAAACACTATTTTTTTTCAACTGTATCTTATAATCAACTCATTCTCTGTTGATACTATTCTCCAAACCCATTATTAACCTAATCAGCAGACAATATTTTTTAAACGTTTGAAAAACATTGCCTGTTGATTGGAACTGCAACATTTTGGCAATTGCTATTACAGGACACCGATAATGTAACTTTTTCCCTAGGGTCGAAACATGAAAAGTTTCATGTAACTATCTCTTTTTATTGGTGTTGAATAGAAAGAAATAAACTTTTTACTTTTTACGTTTCCGCCTAAGAGAAAGTTACATGATCGGTGACCAAGTGCGCGTGCACGCGCCGCGCCTTAATAGCCTTATAAAGAACATATTAAGGCCTTATTAAATTTAAATTAAGATTCAGAACTTATTAATTACATATATAATTTTGTGCGTGAACCTTCGAAATTATTTTCGTGCACAGAAGGAAAATATTTATTTTGCGCCGAGAACGTAAATCTGCAGTAGGATTCTGCGAGGAGAGAGTGAACGGTTTCGTAAGATGAATTTTGAAATGATTTATTTTACAAAACTGAACAAAACAGTCGTCCAATAACGCGGTCGCTTCTTAACTATACGCGATTTCCGTCACTCTAATCTCCTTTTAAGCTTTCAAGACGGACTCTCAGGGCAGACTGCTCCGAATTCGTACATCGGTAACGACAACGGCCGATAGATCATATGATCGACGCGTGACCCGTGCGTGCCCTATCGTGATTCGCTTGCGATCGACCTATTGAAGACCGAGATTCAAACAAAACGCTTGTTTGTCTATCTGGAACGCGCGGTCGCGAAAATAAATCGAACGTGATGACCTTGCCGAAAACATCGAGAAACGGCTTCTCTAATATGCCTTACAATTTTATACAAATTTCAATTAGATTGTAATTTAATTTAAATATATTAGCTAATTAAATCCTTATTAAGTTAATTAAATATGAATATCTTGATGATGAAATAATACTAAAAAGTACGTATATATACTTTGCATACTACGAAATATATGTATGAGTATGCATGTCGATTAAGAATATACGATATGTATACATATGTTTTGTAGTATACAAAGTATGTATACATTCTGGACATTTTGAATTGACATTCTTATATTCTTAATTAGTTTTATATATAAAACAAATATGAGCTATATTAATGCTGTTAATGAGTTTTAATTTAAATCAAATAAAATTTAAATTAAGGTCTTAATTAAGTTTATATTTAATTGTTTTTCGCGGGTTATGAAAGGTTACACTAAAAAATATTTAGGGGACTATGAATCTGAAACTCCTCGTGTTGATAACTAAATTTATGAACATTGATTCAATGCAGCTGTGATAGCCAAGTACTAAATTAATTGGAAATCGTTGAGTTAACGTTAAAATGTAATTTTAAGTTTTTTGTTTAGTCTTTCCGTAATATTTGATTTAATACAAGTACTAAAATATTTATTTTTATAAATTATGGAAATAATCGACCAAACTAGCGGATAAAATTGTTTATTCAATTTTACGACGTTTCGACGATATGGTTGTGGTCCTTTTCTCAAGTGAGACTACAATAATTATTAAACATATTATTATAAACCGAAAACACTAAATACAATTCGCAATTTGAAACGCACGTAATACTTACAAGTAAAATAATAACTAATCGACTCCTCTTATCTCTTTATTAAGGTCGTTTAAATAATTTGACGTAAAATATAAACATATCAGAATCTGACGTTCCTTGGTTGAGATATGTTGTGGCAGTCTCTTATTTTCATTTTAAATTTGATTTTAATAAATTTTTATTTGTGACTTATATAATATTACTATAATTTGACACTGCATGGAGAGATAAGAGGAGTCGATTAGTTATTATTTTACTTGTAAGTATTATGTGATACCATACATATGTATGTATGTATGTATATATATATATATATTGCGCCTGATGTATAAATGGCGTGGCATTCATAAAGTTAAACGGGCGCAAGTCTGGATTTGACCAGATTTCTAATGCGGCCCATATTTGCGCCACGTCAAATGCTGTCGAGATTTTTATTGATTTTCACATTTAATGTATATCTTTTGTCATACATATATCTCTTGTTTTTTGGATCCTTTCCTTTGCCTAGATTTTTTGCATGCATCATCAGCTCATTCGGGGTAAAATTGCACGGTAAGTATTATATTAATTATATGAATTAACGCATTTACACCCCCCCCCACACACACAACACACATATATATATATATATATATATATATATATATATATAATTATATGCATAATTATGTTCTTTACATATAAAAAATTATCATTATTTATTTAACCTTAAAATTGAACACAATAATATGAAGGAAATCTTTAACAGAAAAGAGTTTTGCGACACATGTACCAGCTGCAAAGACATTTGATAATAGTGAGAACCATCTGATAATGAGTGCTTTTTTTTTAATTCAGAATAATAAGTATAAAGAACTTATAATATGCTTACAAAATTTTTTGTTGATAATATAAATACATTTTAAAATGTACAATATTAATATTTATTTAAAAATTTAAGCTTTAATATTATATTATGTTGTAGACCAACGTAAACCTGTCAGGTCATCGGAGAAGGAAAATTTAACAAAAAAGGGTTTAATGACACACATACCAATTCCAAAGACATTTGATAATAATAAGCCAGAATCATCTTATTGTGAGTCAGAACCATCTGATTGTGAGCTAGAACCATCTGATTATAAGCCAGAACCATCTAATTGTGAGTCAAAACCATTGAATAGTGAGTTATTTTATTTTTAATTTTGAATAATAAGTATAAAAACTCATAATATGTTTAAAAAATTTCTCACTGATAATATGATTGCATCTTAAAAAATGTACAGTATTAATATTTATTTTTGTTTAAAAATTTAAGCTTTAATATTATATTGTATTGTAAACCAACGTAAACTTGTCAAGTCATCCAAGTTATCGGAGAAGGAAAATTTAACAAAAAAGAGTTTTGCGACACACATACCAGCTGCAAATACACTTGATGATAGTGAGCCAGAACCATCTGATTATGAGCCAAAACCATTGAATAGTGAGTTATTTTATATTTAATTTTGAATAATAAATATTCTTGAAGAAGAAAAAAAGCTTTCTCTGCTGAATATATTATAATTTACATTTTTATTGTACTCAATTTGCACATTCATATTGTATTAGCTTTACTTACACATAGTAAATATATCAATGTAAGTACGACAAAGCTGCTGCTAATACAATACGTATGTGCAAATTGAATACAATAACAAAATGAATTATAACACATTTATCATAGAAAATTTTTAGAAGTTTTTTCAGATTTGTTGCTACAAAAGGAATTTAAAGGAGAAATTACCTCCAGAAATCATCTTATAAAAGCGATGAGTGCAGCGCTTTCAAATTCGAAAGATTGGGAAGGTCACAGAAAAGACCGAATTAAATATAGTGGCGTAAAAAATAAACTAATACCAAAGATAAAGTACAAATATCTTCGTAGTAATACTATTATAAGCGAGTTAAGTAAGGCCATGTTTTTATTTCATCGATGGATCAAGCACATGATGCGCAAATGCTACACGTGCAGATTTGCGAATAATGCGCTTGATCCATTGATGAATTAAAAAACATGGCCTAAAGCTCACGGGCTACGAGTCATTTTACTGTACAATTATAGTTTAGTTAAAGTTCAACATGTAAAATTAATAAGACGAGTTCTATAATATTTATATTTTCTGCAATATAAATTTTAAAATTATAAAAAAATATTATTTATACTTTATTTTATTATACCTTTTAGAATTAATATTAGATATATAGATAAGATAATAATGATTAATAAAAAATATATCTGATGTATTAAATAAATTTAGTTTCAGGATTTTATGCTGTTATTTTTTCAAAAAAATACTGTTAAACATTTCGATTATTGACGAAAAATCTATTACAAATTATTGAAAATCAATAACTTTTTCTTCAAAAATCGAATATAGTTCAATAGTATTTTTTTGAAAGGGTGACAGCTTAAAATCCTGCAACTAAATTTATTTAATTCATCATATATTTTTCATGCATATGGCACATCAATAACTCGCTAGTTCCATGTCTGTACTATGTAGTACCTTACTGGCACCATGTTAGTGCCATGCCAGGACCATACCAAATCTTTCCAAAGTTGTGGCACTAGCGGGCAAAATGTGACGATTCGAGGCATGGCGAGGCAGTTCGCAACTGAGCAAAAACAAATGTAAAAATACATCTGCGATCGGCTGTTGCCATCTTCCACGTACAAGTTGACGTGTTTGTCTTTCTTATGCTCCGAAAGACGTATTGGG